TTTATTTTATTTTCTAAATAATATATTCAAAAAATTAAATATAAATAACTCAAATCGTTAAAATAAGACATTTACTAATAAAGTTCACATACTCCAACAATACTACGAAAGACAATCCCCTTCTCACATACTATATAGAACTGAGTATTGACGAAAAAGAGTTGGAGTAGGGAATAGAATTAGGGTTGTGCACCGATTAGTCCGACCAAACCGATCGGCCCGAAATGAACCGAAGTGAAATGGCTGGTTTAAATTGGAAGTTCGGTCAGCGATGGGTTTGATAAAGAAAGGGCCGCCTACATCGATCTCACCGATGAGATACAAACACGTGTCTTTTTCTGTTCTTCACCTCAGATTTTATTGAATATCTTATCACTTTATCGCCAATCAACACTTTACACGTATTCCATTACTTATCTCCAAAGTTTATCACTAATTTTCTGTCCCTTTCAATTACATAGCTTCCAACATCCATCATATATCACAATTCTCTCTCTCTCTCTCTCTATATATGTCTTTGTCTCTCAATTACACAACTTCCAATAACTTCATCACTTATCATCTGTTTTCTTTCTCTTTTAGGGTTCGTTTGGGAAGTGGGTTGGCTTTTTGGCTATTTTGTTCTGAACCTAAAAAGTCTAATTTGGGAAGGACTTTTTGTGAGAGAAAGAATGAAATGATTATGGGTTGGATGTGATATTTTGTGTATTTTGTCATTTTATGACTAAAATAGTCCCAACCTCTCTTCCCAAATGAAGCCTTAATTACACAAACTCCTTCTCTTCTAAAAAAAACTCTTCTCTCTCATCAATAATGTTTCTCTTAACTGCTCTCTTATCTATGATATGTCTCTCTCTTCCTATATCACCCCCTTTGATTTCTCTCTCCAAAAAGGCACATTTAGACTTCTTCAATAATTTATTAGCATTGTTATAGTATGGCTTTTGATGCCACGTTGGACTTCGTCAAATTTAGTGGGCACTAATTTGTAAATATTTGAATTTAGCTCCCTATTTCAATTATACTAAAACAACGACAAGGATTGACGTGTCAAAATATCTATGTAATTATAAATATTCAATCAATTTATTTTCTTTTATAAATAATATATTCATAAAATTAAATATAAATAACTAAAATCGTTAAAATAAGACATGTACTAATAAATTTCACATACTCCAGCAATACTATGAAAGACAATCCCCTTCTCACATACTATATGCAATTGAGTATTGACTAAAAAGAGTTGGAGTAGGGAATAGAATTAGGGTTGTGCACCGATTAGTCCTACCTAACCGATCAGCCCGAACTGAACCGAAGTGAAATGGCCGGTTTAAATTTAAAGTTCGGTCAGTGATGTGTTTGATAAAGAAAGGGCCGCCTACATCGATATGACCGATGAGATACAAACACGTGTCTTTTTCTGTTCTTCACCTCAGATTTTTTTGAATATCTTATCACTTTATCGCCAATCAACACTTTACACGTATTTCATTACTTATCTCCAAATTTTAACACGAATTTTATGTCCCTTTCAATTACATAGCTTCCAACATCCATCATATATCACAATACTCTCTCTCTCTCTCTCTCTCTCTCTCTCTCTCTCTCTCTGTCTTTGTCTCTCAATTATACAACTTCCAATAACATCATCACTTATCATCAATATTCTTTCTCTTTTAGGGCTCGTTTGGGAAGTGGGTTGGTTTTTTGGCTATTTTAGGTTGAACCTAAAAAATCTCATTTGGGAAGGACTTTTTGTGAGAGAAAGAATGAAATGATTATGGGTTGGATGTGATATTTTGTCTTATTGAACTAAAAAGTCTATTTTGACTTTTTGTGACTAAAACAGTCCCAACCTTTCTTCCCAAATGAAGCCTTAATTACACAAACTCTTTCTCTTCAAAAAAAAAAAAAAACTCTCTCTTCAATAATTTTTCTCTTAACTGCTCTCTTATCTATGATATGTCTCTCTCTTCCTATATCACCCCCTTCGATTTCTCTCTAAAAAGGCAAATTCAGACTTCTTTAATAATTTATTAGCATTACTATAGTATGGCTATTGATGCCACATAGGACTTTGTCAAATTTGGTGCGCACTAATTTATAAATATTTGAATTTAGCTCCCTATTTCAATTATACTAAAACAATGACAAGGATTGACGTGTCAAAATATATATGTAGTTATAAATATCAAATCAATTTATTTTCTTTCATAAATAATATATTGATAAAATTAAATATAAATAACTCAAATTGTTAAAAGAAGACATGTACTAATAAATTTCACATACTCCAACAATACTATGAAAGACAATCCCCTTCTCACACACTATATGCAATTGAGTATTGACTAAAAAGAGTTGGAGTAGGGAATAGAATTAGGTTTGTGGACCGATTAGTCCGACCAAAACCGATCGGCCCGAACTGAACCAAAGTGAAATGGCCGGTTTAAATTGAAAGTTCGGTTAGCGATGGGTTTGATAAAGAAAGGGCCGCCTACTTCGATCTGACCGATAAGATACAAACACGTGTCTTTTTCTATTCTTCACCTCAGATTTTATTGAATATCTTATCACTTTATCGCCAATCAACACTTTACACGTATTCCATTACTTATCTCCAAATTTTATCACTAATTTTTGGCCCCTTTCAATTACATAGCTTCCAACATCCATCATATATCACAATTCTCTCTCTCTCTATATATATATATATATATATCTTTGTCTCTCAATTATACAACTTCCAATAACTTCATCACTTATCATCAATTTTCTTTCTCTTTTAGGGCTCGTTTGGGAAGTAGGTTGGCTTTTTGGTTATTTTAGTCTGAACCTAAAAAGTCTCAATTGGGAAGGACTTTTTGTGAGAGAAAAAATGAAATGATTATGGGTTGGATGTGATATTTTGTCTTATTGGACTGAAAAGTCTATTTTTTCTTTTTGTCACTAAAATTGTCCCAACCTTTCTTCCCAAATGAAGCCTTAATTACACAAACTCTTTCTCTTCTAAAAAAAAAAGAAAAAAAACACTCTCTCTTCAATAATGTTTCTCTTAACTGCTCTCTTATCTATGATATGTCTCTCACTTCCTATATGCCCTTCGATTTCTCTCTCCAAAAAGCCAAATTTAGACTTCTTCAATAATTTATTAGCATTATTATAGTATAGCTTTTGATGCCACATAGGACTTTGTCAAATTTAGTGCGCACTAATTTATAAATATTTGAATTTAGCTCCCTATTTCAATTATACCAAAACAATGACAAGAATTGACGTGTCAGTATATCTATGTAGTTATAAATATCGAATCAATTTGTTTTCTTTTATAAATAATATATTCATAAAATTAAATATAAATAACTCAAATTGTTAAAATAAGACATGTACTAATAAATTTCACATACTCCAACAATACTATGAAAGGCAATCCCCTTCTCACACACTATATGCAATTGAGAATTGACTAAAAAGAGTTGGAGTAGGGAATAGAATTAGCGTTGTGGACCGATAAGTCCGACCTAAAACCGATCGGCCCGAACTGAACCGAAGTGAAATGGCCGATTTAAATTGAAAGTTCGGTTAGCGATGGGTTTGATAAAGAAAGGGCCGCCTACATCGATCTGACCGATGAGATACAAACACGTGTCTTTTTCTGTTCTTCACCTCAGATTTTATTGAATATCTTATCACTTTATCGCCAATCAACACTTTACACGTATTCCATTACTTATCTCCAAATTTTATCACTAATTTTCTGTCCCTTTCAATTACATAGCTTCCAACATCCATCATATGTCACAATTCTCTCTCTCTCTCTATCTCTCACTCTCTCTATCTCTGTCTTTGTCTCTCTATTATACAACTTCCAATAACTTCATCACTTATCATCAATTTTCTTCCTCTTTTGGGGTTCGTTTGGGAAGTGGGTTAGCTTTTTGTCTATTTCTGTCTGAATCAAAAAGTCTCATTTGGGAAGGACTTTTGGTGAGAGAAAGAATGAAATGATTATGGGTTGGATGTGATATTTTATCTTATTGGACTAAAAAGTCTATTTTGTCTTTTTGTGACTAAAATAGTCCCAACCTTTCTTCCCAAATGAAGCCTTAATTACACAAACTCTTTCTCTTCTAAAGAAAAAAAAAACTCTCTCTCTTCAATAAAGTTTCTCTTAACTGCTCTCTTATCTATGATATGTCACTCTCTTCCAATATCACCCCCTTCGATTTCTCTCTCCAAAAAGGCAAATTTAGACTTCTTCAATAATTTATTAGCATTATTATAGTATGGCTTTTGATGCCACATTGGACTTTGTCAAAGTTAATGGGCACTAATTTATAAATATTTGAATTTAGCTCCCTATTTCAATCATATAGCGATCTCGAGTTTGTCCCCTTTATGTACTGTGTCTCGGTCTTAGGTTCTGTGGAGTTGGTGGTTGTATCTCCTGTTATCATCCTTTAAATTCCGTATGTCTGAGTTCTAGGATGTGTTGGGCGTGTTTTGAACAGGTTGGTTGAGCCTTAGTCCCTTTCCTTGTTGCCCAAAGTTTTGGTGGTACGCTTGAGCGAGTACCTTTGCGCTCGAGCGGAGTTGGATTTTTGGTTGTACGCTCGAGCGGACCATTTCACGCTCGAGCGGAGTTTTTACACTTCCAGTGTCTGTGCCTCTGCAAAAGTTTTGAAGATGTGTTTTTCACGCTCGAGCGGGTTTCCTTACGCTCGAGCGGGTCTGTTGGCGCTCGAGCGGGGTGTTCATTGTTTGTGAAAGTTCTGAAATGGGGTAATCTACGCTCGTGCGAACTGGTTTTCACGCTCGAGCGGATGTACTTTATTCTTGTGTCTTGGTGCTCGAGCTAGCCTTCTTGCGCTCAAGCGGGTCCAGTTTTTGTGCTTGATGCTCGAGTGCTCTATTATCCGCTCGAGCGAATCATGCGTATATCAGTTGGCAGCAGGGCATTTTTGAATCACTTTTCAACTTCCACTCTCTCTCTTACTTTTTCGAAAAAGCCATTTGAGAACTTCTCTCACTAAAACTCAACTTCTCTCTAAGTATTGATCTAGTAGGAGTGATTTCCTTACCTTTGGCCTTTACAGAAGTTGTGTTGATCGTCGAGGGTTACGTTTTGATCCTAGTATATTGAATTTTGGAGCACTTTAGGTTTCGTCATCTTCCCCGTTTGAGCTCTAACTTCGAGGTAGAGATATCCTACTCCATCTTATGAGCTTTGTCTTTGAATTTTGGCATTTTGATATGTTTGGGGTCGTTGGGTAATTTTGAGAAAGTTCGGGTCTTTGTGTAATTTTACAAAAGTTAGGGTTTTATTTATTATTACCTATATGCATGTTGGGCATGGAGAAGTGAGATGAATGTTGGATTGTTGATAGAAATGAAACCTTAGGGTTGTTTTGTCAATTATGGGAAATGCCCTAATTGCGTTGTTAAATTAATTTGTGAAATAATTGTGAGAAATGAGAAATGGAATTAAAAATATTGGAATTGGGAATGTATGGGATTAAAGGGTGTAGTTGGATTATTTATCACTCACCAAATTGAAATGTTAATATTTTACCCATTCGGCGCATTTATTTTCTGTTTAGAAATAACTGCTTTGGGCTATCGGTGGAGGATAGTCTTGATTGTTGTAGACAATGCATGATGGTTAGGCAAACTAAAACTAATCAACTAAGTGTACTATTGAATATAGCGATTGGAATGATACATTAACTTTATGTATTGGTTGGTTGTATATGATAATTGTTTATATACATTTAAGTGTGGGAGGAGAAAGGGGCTGTACTCCATGGTTTATTGGAAGAAAGGGGCTGGACCTCTAAACCGGAAGTTGTGTTATTGTAGACACCCCATTTTTTACTGACCTTAAGACTCAGACGTCACCGATTGAGCGCTTGGTGATGTTGCATAATGTGCTCGTTCAGAAGTTTCAGAGTCGCGGCCGTGAGCCCTGCCTCTGGACTTCCGAACCCTCTTTTGTGCTTTGCCTCGGTTTGCGAACCAGGCTCGATTTTCTCTGTTTCTTTTCCTGAGGGGAGGGAGAGGTCCCGTAGACCATCTCTCAGTGGCCATGGGCTACATTTTGTGGCCGCAGGCCATTTTGCCCATTTCGGAGTCCGGTTTTCAGTTTTTCGGGACCGTTGGCCGTGTGCCTCGGTTCGAGACCGCCTAACCATCTCCGTTTGCTCTAAATTTTGGCATACATCTTATTTTCTCCCTTTTGAGGGACACTGAGGTCCGAGAAACCCACTTCGTGGCCGAACGCCACTTTCGGTGCTCGGCAGCCCATTTTCGGGACCCCGAACTGCGCGTTTTGGCCCCCGAACATTCGTTTTGCGACGGTTTTCGTTCATTTTTGGCAGGTACCTCTGTTCTATCACCGAGAAGGTCACTGAAGGGTGGGAGGCCAGTAATTGTTGCAACAACCAGTTATATATCCTTTGACGCCCTCCGACGCCCGTTTTTCACACTTCCGGGCTAATGTTGAACACCTTGGGGGCACTTTCTTGAACTTTGAACCACATATCTGTGATGTACACACATGGGAGGATCCTAAAAGTTGGTGGCCGGCCAGTAATGTTTCCTGACCCTTTTGAACCCCTCCTTCCGGGCTAATGTTGAACACCCTTGAGCCACTTTTTTGGACTTTTAACCACAAGATTGTGTTGTACACACATGGGAGGACACCATCATGTGGTGGCCGGCCACTAAACCAGCTTGACCCTTTTGACCCCTAGCCGGCCGGCTAGGCGGCCGGCCACCTGGAACAAAAATACCTGGCCGGCCATGATCCTCATGCTGTTCACTTTACAGCTGTATAGCTTTATCCCCCAGAAAATATCCCAATCCGGGGGATATTTTGTGGGGGAAAGCTTGCCTCTTTTTTCCCCCACCTTTACACCCTCTTTTTGTTCCTTATAACCAGCTGCCAACATGCATTATAGGGGTTGGAACAAAATTGCTTTGAAGCTTTATATACAACTCTCCCTCTATCTCTCTCATTTTCTCAAAAATATCCAAGTTTTGGCCTCATTTCTTCATCATCATCAATCTCTACCACCACCCCTCCATTCCAGCAGCAAGGGGATGAATTCCAGCAGCTTAGAGTCATCAAAGTTGGTCCAAGAAGCAACAAAAGCATTGGTCTTCAAGGGTAAGTTCACTTTCCCTCTTTTCTAGCTCATTTTTGCACCATTCCTCTAGCCATCATGCTTACGGTTTTAGGCTCCGACCTTAACTGAAACTAG